GGGGGGGGGGGGGAGGTTTCCCTCCTTTTTTCCCCCTATCCCTGACACATACATGCACTAGCAGGCCTCACAGCATTTTTGAGGGGTCTTAAACATGGGGTTGTTTCACTTTTGGTCCTCTTTTGACTATTCTTTGATCCCAATTGTATGCCCAGATAACAGGTAAAATTGATAGTCTTGTGTTGCAGTGTCGCTGGGGATGTCAGTGTTTAGTGTGTGTGTGGGGTTGGGGGGGGGGTTGGAAGAATAGGGATATAAAGTGCTTGAAGATCTAACACCCCCTTTTGAAAACTAGCTGTGGGTTTAAAGTATTGCATTGTACAAAAGTGAATTTGAAAAAAAAGAAATAGTGCCTGATGTCTTGTGAGTGTATTGTATAGGCTTTTTATACTGCAAGGAAGTGCAAGACTTCTTTGTCATGGCTATTGATTTATCTTATTTCTTTGTGAACTTTTTTTTTTTTTTTTAAATTTACTTAAGTCAATGTAGTTGTACGTTTGGGATGATGCGACTTGAAAGGGCCAATGTTGATCAAACTGTTAAGTACCGGTACTCTGTATGTTGGTGGGGAGGACAGGGCGGCAGAAGAGTCCTACGCTCAAACAATGTTAAGTGGCGGCGCCCGCCGCAGTGCTGGCCCGGGGATTTTAAGAGCACGAGCACAAGTCCCTTCCAGAATGTGTGAGTTAGTGAGTACTCTGGGCAGGGAGACAACACTTTGGTGATCAACTGGCAACAAGAAAACCTATGAAATTTGAAATTTCTTTGGGGTTAATCTGTACATTCAGCCATTTTATTACTCAAAACATCTCATTAGTGTTGCCTGGCTTGTTGGGCTGTTGCCCACTGCTGTGTGTTACATGTGCAGAGCTTGGATAGAAATGAACAACGGCGCGGCGCCAGTTAAATATGTTACATGTGTATAATTTTTTACACTTGTAGGTAACTTCTGTCCCCAATCTTTTCAGGGGTTCCCAAATGATTCAAACTGACCTCTTCAAGGCAGGATTCGATTTAAAGAAGATAATCACTTCCAATACTTTTTATTTAAAAAAAACAAAAAAAACTGATCACCTTACAAACAAAATTAAGATTTAACCCAAACAGTGAGTAATGATGTCACAACTAATTGTATTTTGAAGGATCCATTCAGTCGGCCTCCTGACATCCACTTTAACCTGTAAAATGTGACAGGCTCCTACATTTCTTGTTTGACAGAAACATGCAACAGTCTGTTAAACAAGGACTTAATTAATATCTTTTCCTCAGTAGTTTAGAGGTGAAATATTTGACTTCAATTGAAAAGGTGAAATGATTTTTTTTTTCTCTGCAACTAATGAGTCATTAATTTTGTTGATTTTTGTGTGTAATACCAAGGTCTTTTTGAACTGTGAATCATTTGATTGCAACAAAAAAAGGGGAAATACTTCTACAATTTTTCGCTGCAACTGAGTCCTTTTCTTTTTTTTTTTTTTTTTTTTTTTTTTGGTCTTTTTTTTTTGAGACAAGGGCTTTTTTTTATTTT